TGCACCCACCACAGCTTCCCAAAGTACTGGGATTATGGGTGTGAGCCACTGCACCCAGCCCCTTTTAATACTTTTTAGATGCATGTGTCTGACTTTAAGGTCTGAATTCCTATGGTCTATATACTGAAAGAGAAAATATTGTTACATTATTTTGCATGTTGGATGTATATGCATGTGAGTGTGTCCAGGCTCCACTAGATACAGATGTCAAAAAAGCAGCAACTTTATCCAGACCACTTCTGACTTAATGTCAGTTATAACACTGAGTCAGAAATCAGATAATGAATAAAAATTAATATAAAAACAAAAAATATGTTTAAATACCTCATTCTATAGCTATTTATGGGAGCGGGGGGTGAGGGGTATTGGGATCTTCAACAATGGGAACTCATTAAACAAACACAAAATATTTTATGTACAAGTTAGAAACCTTACCCAAATCATGGATTCATGTGAATGAGGGATGAGCTCCTGTACTGTAATCGCCCTGAACACCTGTGCTGTGAGTTCATCTCCAGTTCAATTCATTCATGATTAGAGCTTCTCCTATGTCAGGCTTTTAGAGTACAAAACACGTGAATCCCCCTGCCCTCAATGTGCTCACTTTTCATATTCTTATGTCTTAAGCTAGTCCTTCTCACTTTCAAGCTCCAATTCCTGGATTTGTAAGAGTTTCAAGAGAAGCAGCACACCAACCATTGATGCTGAGAAAGTCAGATCTATCAGTTATATGAATCCACTCAACATACCTGTAGCAGGCACCATGCCAGGTTTTGTTTTTATTTCCTGTTATTTTGTTTGAGGAGAGCAAAGGTGAGAAAATAAAAATTGAGGAACATGACCTATCTTCAGTGTTAGGTCAAACGAGGCAGGTAGACAGAACAAATAACAAGAGGTCAGGAGACTACAAGTTACATAAAGTGTATAAAGTGCAATCAGAACAAAAAAGCAAGTAACTGCTTAGAAAAGTTGAGGATGATGTCACTCAGAAGATTACAGATAATGCTGGGTCTTGAAGAAATAAGAATTTAAAAAGAATCGATCATATGAAAGTGTATGGCATCTCTCAGATGTACAAAATATTTATCTATGGCCGGAGTATACAGGAGAGTACTGGGAAATAGGCTGAAAAGGTGATATTTGATTCTGAAGGGCTTCTGTGCAAGTTGCCTAAGAGTTGCAATACAAATGAGCCGTAGAATATCTTTTATTTTATTATTATATACTTTAAGTTCTAGGGTACATGTGCATAACGTGCAGGTTGTTACATATGTATACTTGTGCCATGTTGCTGTGCTGCACCCATCAACTCGTCAGCACCCATCAACTCGACATTTACATCAGGTATAACTCCCAATGCAATCCCTCCCCCGTCCCCCTCCCCATGATAGGCCCCAGTGTGTGGATGTTCCCCCTCCCGAGTCCAAGTGATCTCATTGTTCAGTTCCCACCTATGAGTGAGAACATGCGGTGTTCGGTTTCTGTTCTGTGAGAGTTTGCTAAGAATGATGGTTTCCAGCTGCATCCATGTCCTACAAAGGACACAAACTCACCCTTTTTTATGACTGCATAGTATTCCATGGTGTATATGTGCCACATTTTTCTAATCCAGTCTGTCACTGATGGACATTTGGGTTGATTCCAAGTCTTTGCTATTGTGAATAGTGCCGCAATAAAACATACGTGTGCATGTGTCTTTATAGCAGCATGATTTATAATCCTTTGGGGTATATACCCAGTAATGGGATGGCTGGGTCATATCGTACATCTTAGTTCTAGATCCTTGAGGAATCGCCATACTGTTTTCCAACATGGTTGAACTAGTTTACAACTCCACCAACAGCGTAAAAGTTTCCTATTTCTCCACATCTCTCTCAAGCACCTGTTGTTTCCTGACTTTTTAATGATTGGCCATTCTAACTGGTGTGAGATGGTATCTCATTGTGGTTTTGATTTGCATTTCTCTGATGGCCAGTGATGATGAGCATTTTTCATGGTGCCTTGTGGCTTGTATGAATGTCTTCTTTTGAGAAATGGTCGTTCATATCTTTTGCCCACCTTTTTGAGGGGTTGTTTGTTTTTTTTCTTGTAAATTTGTTTGATTCTTTGTAGGTTCTGGATATTAGCCCTTTGTCAGATGAGTAGATTGCAAATTTTTCTCCCATTCTGTTAGGTTGCCTGTTCACCCTGATGGGTAGTTCTCTTTTGCAGTGAGAAGCTCTTTAGTTAATGAGATCCCATTTGTCAATTTTGGCTTTTGTTGTCGTTGCTTTTGGTGTTTTAGACATGAAGTCTTTGCCCATGCCTATGTCCTGAATGGTACTACCTAGGTTTTCCTCTAGGGTTTTTATGGTATTGGGTCTACATTTAAGTCTCTAATCCATCTTGAATTAATTTTCGATAAAGGAGTAAGGAAAGGATTCAGTTTCAGCTTCTACTTATGGCTAGCCAATTTTCCCAGCGCACCGTTTATTAAATAGGGAATCCTTTCCCCATTTCTTGTTTCTCTCAGGTTTGTCAAAGATCAGATGGCTGTAGATGTGTGGTATTATTTCTGAGGACTCTGTTCTGTTCATTGGTCTATATCCTCTGTTTTGGTACCAGTACCATGCTGTTTTTGGTTACTGTAGCCTTGTAGTATAGTTTGAAGTCAGGTAGCATGATGCCTCCAGCTTTGTTCTTTTGACTTAGGATTGTCTTGGAGATGCGGGCTCTTTTTTGGTTCCATATGAACTTTATAAGCAGTTTTTTCAATTCTGTGAAGAAACTCATTGGTTGCTTGATGGGGATGGCATTGAATCTATAAATTACCTTGGGCAGTATGGCCATTTTCATGATATTGATTCTTCCTATCCATGAGCATGGTATGTCTTTTCCATTGTTTGTGTCCTCTTTTATTTCACTGAGCAGTGGTTTGTAGTTCTCCTTGAAGAGATCCTTTACATCCCTTGTAAGTTGGATTCCTAGGTATTTTATTCTCTTTGAAGCAATTGTGAATGGAAGTTCATTCATGATTTGGCTCTCGGTTTGTCTGTTACTGGTGTATAAGAATGCTTTGTGATTTTTGCACATTAATTTTGTATCCGAGAGACTTTGCTGAAGTTGCTGATCAGCTCAGAGTTTTGGGCTGACAATGGGGTTTTCTAAATATACAATCATGTCATCTGCAAACAGGGACAATTTGACTTCTTCTTTTCCTAACTGATACCCTTTATTTTCTTTCTCTTGCCTGATTGCCCTAGCCAGAACTTCCAACACTATGTTGAATAGGAGTGGTGAGAGAGGGCATCCCTGTCTTGTGCCAGTTTTCAAAGGGAATTTTTCCAGTTTTGCCCATTCAGTATGATATTGGCTGTGGGTTTGTCATAAATAGCTCTTATTATTTTGAGGTACGTTCCATCAATACCGAAATTTATTGAGCGTTTTTAGCATGAAGGGCTGTTGAATTTGTCAAAGACTTTTCTGCTCATTGAGATTATTATGTGGTTCTTGTCTTTGGTTCTGTTTATATGCTGGATTATGTTATTGATTTGCGAATGTTGAACCAGCTTGCATCCCAGGGATGAAGCCCACTTGATCATGGTGGATAAGCTTTTTGATGTGCTGCTGAATCCGGTTTGCCAGTATTTTATTGAGGATATTTGCATCAATGTTCATCAGGGATATTGGAATATTTTTAAAGATGTGTGTCTTAGAAAGCTCCAAGAGCATTGTGGACAATGGTTCAAAAAAAGACAGAGGAACCAACTGGAGTTTGCCTAAATTGTGAAGAACAAGTTATCTGGCCCTTTCCGTACTCAATAGTTCAAACAATTAAGATTTGCAAACTTCCCCACACTACAAAATCTGCACTAAGAATATATTTCCCATTCTGTGTGGTCTGTCTGTGCATACTACCTATTCAACAGATACTGTCTTCCGTGTGTTGAACACTGGGAATAAAATGATGAGCAACAACAGATATGGTCCTGCCTTCAAGGAGTTCATAGTTTGATATGGGAAATAACATTAGAAGGAATTTCAAGGAAGGGTGTTGAATAGGGTGTCTGGCAAGTCTCAGGTTAAGACTGCCCTGAAGAAGTAACAATTATCACAAAAATATGAAAAACCAAAAAGAGCATTAATCTATTTTTTACATCTGCCAAAGGAGAGGATTCACAAGTAGTAAAAAGAGTATGGACTTAAAGATCCTAGGTTCAGATTCCATTTGCAATGCCCATAAACTAAATAGTCTTGGGGAATGAATTTAATCTGTTTGACAGGATTCTATCTCCTCACACGGTTGTTGTGAGAACTGTGTGAAAGTACTTAGCATACAGTGCCTGACCAAGAGAAGGTATTCAAACAATGTACATTTAATTTCCCACATTCTTCACCCTTCAAAATATTTATTTTCATGAAAATAAATGATTTTTTTCCAGTTGTCCTAAATCAAGTGCCAGGGATCTGGTAAAAGTCTTTGGCAGCTGAAAATCTGGCCTATTCTCACAGAATCCTGGACTAAAAACTTAAAAGTCTAATTTACAAGGGAGATTTTTGAGAACATTTTTCAATCTTTCCAGAGTACTTCCAACTTCCATTAATTCTGCTGCCAAACAAAAAGGAAAGTATAAATACTTTAAAAAATAGAGAAAAATGCATAAAGCAGAAAATCTAGGTTTTAAAAAGCATCAAATAATATAGAACTATATAACTGGATGGTGTTTCCTTCTCCTAAAGTCCATTAATAGTATGAATTAAACCAGTATGATAGATGCTCTGGAGGACCAAGAATGGAAAATTAAATGGAATCTAAGTTTCATACACAGGCAAACTGATAAAGGGCAACTGGGGCAGGATACCTACTACCCAATAAATTTAGTAATTTTTAGTCGGGCAACTGGGGCAGGATACCTAGTACCCAACAAATTTAGTAATTTTTAGTCATTTAAAATAGCATTAAAGTAGAAAATGTAGATTAGTTTCTGAGGAGGAAAGAAATTAGAATGAGACAAATAATATATGGAATGATACAATTTAATAAGGTTTTCATTCTGTACTCATTTTAATTTTTATTCTTATTTGTATTCTAACAAATGTACTTTTTTTTATTTATATATTCATCTGTCTACATTCAGAGCCTGAATATATTTACTTATTGACCAGTAGAATGCATACACTTAAAACTTTAATATTTTGAAACAAGTCAAATTACATAACTGTAACATACAGCAGATCACCAATTCACAACCATCTCTACCTTAGTTCATCTTTACATAAGTACTTGAATTCCTTTTAATGTCTCTTTAGGAGTTCATAAACTATATCTAGATCTCTGCTATAATTTTCACAATTAATTGAAGTTATACCAGATAGTAACTTAATACAGTATCTTCTCCCAATTTTCTAGAGTAGCTAATCTCCATGACCATTTCAAAACAGCTATTCATAATTCATAAACTATCTTTATTCTTTGGCCCTTCAACTAACTGATTTGTACACAGATAATAAATCCAACAGGTAATATTGTAAAGTAATATTGTAAGAAAAAAGTTTTAAGACAATTAAGTAGTTGCTATCCACTGGAAATAAAAGTAGACTTATAAGGTTTTATTTTTTAAATAAAACTTTATATAACCTTAAGGTTATATTTTTTAAATAACCTTAAACGCTGACACCAACATTGAGAGGCAGTGTAAAATTCGTGGTTCAATACGAATCATCTTGCATTCTGGCTTGGCTCAGGTGCCTGCTATCCCTATGCCCCTGAGTCGTAGCCCATTTGTGTTGCTAAGGAATATCTGAGGCTGGTAATTTATTGGGGGTGGGGGAGCGGGGGGAAAGAAGTTTATTTGGCTCACAGTTGTGCAGGCTGTACTAGAAGCATGGTGCCAGCCTCTGCTTGGCTACTGGTAAGGGCCTCAGACCACTCATGGCAGAAAGCAAAGGGGAGATGGTGTGTGCAGAGATCACACAGCAAGAGAGAGGAAGCAAAGAAGAAAGAGAGGGAGGATACCAGGCTCTTTTAAACCATCAGCTTCCAGAGGGGGACAAATAGAGCAAGAACTCATTACTGCAAGGACAACACCAAGACATTCATGAGAGATCCGCTCCATGACTCAAACACCTCCAGCAATGGGGATCAAATTTCAACATGAGATTTGCAGGGGTCAAACAAACCACATATAGCACCATTTCTAAGTCATTTAGGATTTTTAGAAACTCAGCATACTATATTTAATGAAAATCATCATATAATCAGAATATCGCTCCCTTGACGCACACACATCCACATCCAAAGCTATAGCTCTCCTGATACAATTATGTTCTCCATAACAATAGTGACTGTGTGTGTCTAATGCATAAAATGAGTTTGTATGAGAAATAGCAACTCTAAAAAATAAAAGGCCTAGCTTAACGAGTAGCAAAATTTCCAAACTTGGGTTCCAAGTGGAACGATTCCAATTCAATTAAACAGCTATTTTTATTTAGTGCCCCCAATGTCTATGTGAGTGGGAGCGTATCTCAGGCTGAGGAAAAGCTCAAGAAGGCTGGGAGATGAGAAGACTTTGTATATGCAAAGCACAGAAAACGCTAGTATTGTTACTTTTAAAATGTGTGGTGGGGGAGGTGGCAGTGGCCATAGTTGTGGTGCAGATGCCAGGCATAACTAGGAGCAAAATTACACACGGCTTTGCAGGCCTTATTAGTAAATTTGGACCTCATTCCAAGAACACTAAAGAGTCATTAAAAGGTCTAAGCAATGGTGTGGCATGATTCATTTTCCGTTTTTGTTTTTGTTTTTTTTTTTTTTGAGATGGAGTTTCACTCCTGTTGCCCAGCCTGGAGTGCAATGGCACAATCTCTGCTCACTGCAACCTCCGCCTCCTGGGTTCAAGGAATTCTCCTACCTCAGACTCCTGAGTAGCTAGGATTACAGGCATGCACCACCATGTCTGGCTAATTTTGTATTTTTAGTAGAGACGGTGTTTCTCCACGTTGGTCAGGCTGGTCTCAAACTCCTGACCTCAGGTGATCTGCCCACCTTGGCCTCCCAAAGTGCTGGGATTACAGGCTTGAGCCACTGCGCCCGGCCCCTCATTTTCCATTTTTCAAAAACTCAGGCTGCAGCACACAGAACATATAGCAAGTGCACAAGGTGGGAGACAAAGAAACCAGTTAAGAGACAGCTTTGGTGATCTGAAATGATGGAGGCCAAAATTAGAAGGCAGTACAACAGAAATTAAGAGTAAATCCTCTGAAGTCATTTACTTACATTTAAATCCCTGTTTTCCACTTACCAGGTATACAACTTTAAACAAGTTGCTTCCTGCTATGGTTTGAATGCTACAAAAACATGTGTTGAAAACCTATGCTAAACTGTTGCATTGGAAGCTGGAGCCTAATGGAGATGTTTAGGTCATGAGGGTGAAGTCCTCATGAATGGATTAATGCTCATTATAAAAGAGCTTGAGGTTGCAACTTCTATCTCTTGCTCATTCTTGCCCTCTCTTACCCTTCTGCCTTCTGGCATGGGATGACAAAGCACAAAGGCCCTCACCAGATGATAGCATCATGCCTTTGGATTTCCCAGCTTCTAGAACTGTGAGTCAAATAAATTTTTCTCCATCATGTTACCCAGTCTGTGGTATTATGTTATAGTAGCTCAAACGGACTTAAATACATATTCTCTCTACAACTCAGCTTTCTCTTCTATATGTCCAAAGATAAAAATCTTCACAGGATTCTTGCCAAAGTACAAATAAAATAATATATATACAGCAGTTAGCATGTTGCCTGGCACAGAATAAGAATGCAAATGTTTATCATCATTATTAATGCGATGTGAATAGAGAAATGAGAATATAACTAGAAGATGTTTAGGAGACAAAAATTGACAGTTTGAATAAAGGGAAAAGAGATGAGTTTACAACTTCTGGCTTAGAGAGTAACTATTTGATTAGATGAGAAACATAAACGGTTTGAATGTTCTGAAGGTTTGAAGCAAAGTATAGTATTCATTCTTGAATATATGGACTGTGAGAGACAGGCCAGTAGGCAGGCAAATATATAGCTCTAAAGTAAAGGAAACAGATCAAAGCTGGAGATCTGAGATTCAGAGAGACAGATGGTAAGTCCATTGGTGTTGAGAAGAATGCCTAGAGAAAGAATATGCAGAATGAAGAAATGATGATACTAGGTCGAACTTAAGGAACACCAACACTTAAAGGAGGTTAAGAGCAAGAGGCCAGAGAAATAAAAGAATAGTAGTGTGATATGTGAAAAGCCAAAAGAAAAAAAGCGTCTCAAAGAAAGAGTATTCAACAATGTCAATACTGCCAAGCAGTGAAACAAGAACTGAGTTTTCACTGGATTTGGCAACAAAGTATTTATTCACACAATATGCATCAAGCATTGTGCTAGACCCTTGAGATTCAGAGGTGAATAAGAAAAATAAGACCCTTGCACAAACAGACACTATGTTGTGAAAACAGTAAACTAGCAAACAAATCAAATACACATTGTGATAGGGATGGTGAGTAGAGAGTGACATGATAGAGAGTAAAAGGCAGAGGCCAGCTTTAGATGGGGAGTTTGGGAAGGCATCTTTCTGAGGAGGGAAAATTTAAGCTGAAATCTGAGGCAGGAAAGGGCATGGTCAGAGAACTGAAAGGAGTTCCATATGGCCACAGCACAATGATGGAGGGAAGATGGAGAGACAGAAGCTAGACCATGTTTGTAGATCATGCTCAGGACATAGAAGAGTTTAGATGATGACCCATTGAGCAATTGTAAGCAAGGAAGCTAAGATCACTCTAGCTAATGGTACTTAATAGTTTGGCTTTCCTCATTTATACTAGTCTTAATAATCAAAATAGGACATTTTACTACTGTTTCAACCATTAACTGTTTATTATTATAATAATGAAAGTAAGCTTTTGTGTCTAAAAGGATACTATATGGTTACAAACATGTTACCTATTGCATTAATTTTACTAATCCTCTTTTAACCTTCCTCCATATTTCTTTCAAAGGTATTTGTCATACTATCCGTTTGAGTCTATCAAATTTCTCTGAGGTACTCACTCATTTTCAAGCAATGTATATCAGAATTTGAACGTTTTGTAACAACATGACTAAGCAAGATGTTACTAAACTACATATGGGTAAGTAACATACAAAAAACCTGATGCAATTATTTTTAAAAAGATTATATTCTATAGTTTCAGTTTCCTATTTCCTTAATCTATGCATTTATACACATACATACAATAAAGAAAAGCTGAAGCAAAAAACATTGGCTTGAATCTGAGCAGCTGAATTACATGTTCACATTATTTTTAAATTTCCTTATCTGCAAGAGGAAAAACTTACGGTCCTTGCATATTTTAAAGACGTTAGTAAGAACCAACGCCACTATTATCAGGTAGTGTGCTAGGCACATTACATTATTTTTAATTATCCTAATACCTTTCAAAAATAAACATAATTCTTCCCATTTTACAGGTGAAAAAATAATCTCAGTGAGTTTAGGTGACTTGCCCAAGACTACAGACCTGAAATTTAAGCCCAATACAGTAGGCTCAAAAACTCTGGTTACTATACCAAGATGTCCCAGACTGTTAACAGATTGAGTTAAAAAAAAAAAAATTGTCACATATGAGATATTAAATCATAAAAATAGATTTTCAAATGATAAAAATGTTTTGTTCAGTTTTTAATAAACTGTGTGCAACTTAGAAACATTAGCCAGACACACCATTCTTATACAGGTATATTTTTCCCTTCAGCATAGTAACTTGATTTCCATTTTTTTTTTTAATACTAAAGAAGAGAGATAAAAGGAGGCCATAACAGATAAGCACACTGTATCAAAGGTCCAAGAATTAGCACTGAGATACATTTTTTCCAGTTAATCCTTAATACAAATATTAAATCCAATTAACTACCAGCAACCCACATCCTATTCTCACAAAACTTGTTTCTCAAAGTTAAAAATTACAAATGCCTGGCCTAAGACGTTCCTGAATCAGAAAAACCTAACTTCTGATTAAAACCTCTAAATGTCACTATTTCTCTTAACTAGAAAGGAAACAAGTCTGAATAAAAGTATCATAATTTGCTCTAAGAAGAATCTACAGATTTATTGTATTGTTAGCTATTCCTCCTAAGATTTTTCAGGCAGCCAAGTCACCCACCAAGATACTGTTTGAAGAAGACTAGATATTTAGCAAAATGAAACTGATGCCAGATTATTTTTATTTTCCTTAATAAAATACAAACAAGAGCACAAAATTCACTTATATATCATCATTTTACATGTATAAATAATGTTCGGAATTCAAGTACAGTCAAGTGCAGAAATATTTCCTATATGCTAATGTGTAAATATAAACTAATTATATACATCATGTGCCTTTGGCCCAGTTGTAAAATAAAAGACATCAAAAAGAAACACTGCACTTCACTGTTTCATTGCATTCTCACTGAGAATTCGTACCAGTGCCTATGTAGTTATGGTTCTACCTAACTGTTCCATTGCATTCTTATTGAGAATTCGTACCAGTGCCTATGTAGTAACAATAACAAGTTTCATACCACTTAATGTAAACGCCTAAATACACATTTCCCCCAGTTGTAAATATCTCAGGAGCTAAAATTCTATCAATTTTTAATAATGAAGTAGTCAAAATCTTAACCAAGTTTCATTCCTTAAAACAAACACAATTAGAGAACTTACTCTTAACCAAAGTTCTTCCTATGTCAAAATGGATATTTACAGGTTATACATACAGAAAACAAGAAGACAATCATGTTTGTTTACTTTTAGAATGGATAAAAAAAATCTAAAACCTGTCTCAATAGCACGGGTCTTTGTACATTCAAAAGGATCTTACTTCACTGATATCACTTGCTTTTAATTTTAATACCCAGTATATATAACTTTGAGATGTTCAAATAGCTAGGCAATCTGAATTCAAATGATACACAAGCATACCCTTAGAGGGGCAAAAAAAGAAAGTGCCACCGAAAAAGCAATAACTGACATCAACAAGACTATAAATATGCAGTTGAAGGCACGTGGAAGCATTTACTACTCTGCCGTCAAAGATTCTCCACTTAGTTCAGGATCAGGAATAGAATCAGCTCCGGGAACTGTGGAGTTGGCTTCAATCACTGAGGCTTCCTCATTCTCAGTCTCTTGTTTCTCCTCTGGTTCCTCTGAGTCAGATGCTTTTTCAATCCCTTCGTGTGTCTGTTCTGTAGCTGGCATTTTGTCATCTGTCTGCTCTGTACTATTATCAAGAACATCTTGTTCTAAAGATTCTGAAAAGATAAAGATTCAAAACTTTAGGAATACCCGAATGTTAAAACTGCTAAATAAGGCAAGCAAAAAATAAATACACACACACACACACACACACACACACGCACAGAAACCATACAATTGTCTAACATTATCCTTAAAGTCTTTTAAAATAAGTACATAACTCCCTTTACAGTTAGTATGGTAGAAGAAAAAAAGTAATTCAGAGGAAATAAACCCATAATTATACTTTTTCTAATGTCCCATATTTTCATACAAAATAAGTTACTAAAGACACATCTGAAAGTTGAATGTCCAAAAATCATAGTCCCAACAGAATTATGTGCTATAATACAATAGTCCAGAAAACAATGCAAATGTATTAATGTCCAGATTACATTTCCTGAAGAAACTGTTTCCCTTGTGTCCAGGCAACCCTGTAAGCAATGTGTAAATGTATACTTTGTGGGTGGGTGGGTGTGGGTGGATGGTGCTTTCCTACACTGATATGTATCTCTATTATCCAAAAACCGGGAAGTCAGGTTTCTATCTTTTCCAAAGGCATGGCTAGTCTCTCCTCATCCCTCTGCAAGATAAGTCCTCTGTATTTAACCTCTGGGTCAGAATGTACTATATACCTAGCATGTGAGGGAGAGAAAGAGAAGGGTCTTTTAATCCCATCTCCATAGCAGAAGTTAAGTAAGGGTACTAGTCCCTACTGAAAATTTACTCCTTTTAAACTCTCTTTTTAAGTATTACTTAATTCAAATCACTTAATAATAATATAACAATTGTATTGAATAAACTGCCTTTAATTCTTTAAAATTTAAAGAACAGGATGGGGGAGGGAATGACTGAAGCAGACAGTTATTGGGCCACCCAATTTCTATGTTAAAGATAAAAATTTAGCTTTAAGGTATTTATTTGTTTATGTAAAAAACAGCAATTAACATTTTTGCTAGGAGAAATATGGCTAAACCATATCAGTTCAGGAAAAAAGCAGATATTTCTACTCTTATAGATGATTCCTTAAGATATACTACAAATGTTACTAATTCAAAAACTCTGGAGGGAAGGCCAGCCTTAGCAAAAAGTTCTAATTAAGTTCCTTGTATAATAAAGGTCAGTTTTGCTAAATAAATAGAATTGTTTTGCAAAGAAATTATGTGTTATATGCACACATGTTAATATGGAAGTCTTAGAAATCCATGGTTTTACCATACCAGTTTTAACAAACACAAATTATCTATAGCTCACATACTCTATGCCAAGACTTTTAAAATACTTAAAAATAATTATTTCTTTAAAGAGATATCTTGGACTCTGGTTTATATAATTAGTTATAACCACCTTCCTCCTTTTGATACGTAGAATAAAGGCCCAAATTCTATAGTTTTACTGTATGAAAACTTCCTATGCTCACAAAAAGTAAGGAATGTCCATAAATTAATTTGTGCCAAATTTCATTTTTTAAAATCTTATTTGTATCTTAATATGGAACTTAAAATAGCATTGCTACACACTTGGAATCTTATAAAAATCCAAGTTAGAAAAGCAGTAAGTCACTCGAATTTTGTTATTTCAATGCTCCAGAGCAGAAAGGAAAAGCAGAAAGGGCAAATGAAACTCCAGGCATGTACAAATCATTTCTGCTACAAGGGCAAACAAGTTATCCGTGGAAAACTTCAGGAGTCACCAATCATTTGTAATTCTACCCTCACAGAATGTATCCAAGACAGAATTTTAAGCATCATGGTTTTCCACAACTCTCTAGCCACAGAGCAGTATTTACTTGGCAAGAACTTCACAATTTCTTATAGTTTAGTAAGCCTTCTGAAACAAACCAATAAAGCCACAAGAAATGAAAAAACAAAAAGCTCAGAATCCAGGATGTAACTCACCAATAAACATGTTTAAGTGGAAACAGGCCCACATAGTTTGTCATATTCTATCTGACAGACTGCCTCAATACTGTACTGAAATAGGAGAGGTATCAAAATTCAAGGCTTGTCATATTAAAGTTTTGTGATGTTACTATTTTCAAAAATAGACTTTACTTGTCAAAGCCAATTTAATGTACAAATTCTGGGGCCATAAAGAAGTGGTTAATACAAGGAGGAGAACTACAATACTGAAATTTTTAAATGTCTGCAATACAAGAATTCATAGAAATACCATGTGCTATCATAATCAGAAAACAACAAGATACACAAAGTTTTCCAGTCACTATTGTATTTCAGAGAATATGTGGAAGACTACAAAATTGGTGAAATGTGTGGAAATTGAAAATAATCAAAGAGCCTATTAATGATTAAGTTTCTTCTCCTGGGTTAATTTGCAGAAAAGCAATTTTTTAACGGCAGTAACACTACAAAAAATTGGTATGTGATATGACACCTACGATGTAGACATCAGGTAGTCTAAATAAGATAGGTAATTGATGTTTGGATGCCAATGCCATTTTGTAAGAAGTCATCAAACAAGATCTAAATAATTAAGTGTAAATGATTAACAGAGAATTACATATAAATTTAATAACCACAGAGCTTTATAAGATTACTTAATGTGTTACAAACATACTTTTTTCATTTTTATGGAAGTTCATCATTTGCCCATTCTAACAAAAACAGCAAATTTCTTCTGTAAATTTGTAGTTTAAAAGAGCTTGGTGGAATAAAATATATTTCAGAAGATGTTAATATTTGGGCATAAAATACTATGAGAGAAACCAGGCTTTGTGTTCACATTAATTAAACAACCCTACTCTTCCCTTTATGGCCCACTCAGATATGAAACAATTACCTGAATGACCTAATTCCATCTGTAAGAAAAATTTTAAACTCAACTCTGGCATCTATAATGCCAAGAAAACAATATACCACAATGTGATAAAACAAAAAATGATCCATGCAATTTCTTTCCCCACTCCTGCCATCAACCCATCGCAACCTCAATGTTCTTGGGAGATGATGATTATTATTATTATTATTATCATTATTATTATTATTATTTTACCAAATAGTAACAATTGGCTTCCGGTTGTTTGAACAAAGTCTCAACTCAGCTAGAAAACTGAAACTCATAAAACAGTGTAATTATATAATGAATATCACTGCCTCACCTATAAACTACACACATGCAAAAACATATAAAGAATATCATGTTTACGTTTTTACTCTAGTTCTTGAAAAAATAATTTTTTAAGAAAATTAAATAATAGTCTAGCAAAACAACTTCATATATTTTTGCCTTGCTAACACATCAGTGCCCACTATATATGTAAGCTACAAACTTACCTAAAGGAACTGTGTTAAATTAAAATTGACAACATGTCTTTGAACTCACAAGTTTTAAACAAGGCACTTTTTACAAGATTTTCCTGCCTTAAGGAAAATGGTTAACTTATATTTAAGAAACAAAGGTATAAATTTCACCCCAACTCAATAACTCAGTAAATAAAATTCAATTAAATTATAACCACTCATAATAGCTAGTATTCATCAACAACCAGAATACCATTTAATTATTTACCACTTCTGAACAAATCAATTAGACAAGTTAAGAGTTTAATTTTTTTTTTTTTTTTTTTTTTTTTTTGAGACAGAGTCTCACTGTGTCGCCCAGGCTAGAGTGCAGTGGCGCAATCTCAGCTCACTGCAACCTCCGCCTCTCGGATTCAGGTGATTCTCCTGCCTCAGCCTCCCATGTAGCTGGGACTATAGGCACGCATCACCACGCCTGGATCATTTTTGTATTTTTCAGTAGAGACAAGGTCTCACAATATTGGCCAAGCTGGTCTCAAACTGACCTCGTGATCCACCTGCCTCGGCCTCCCAAAGTGCTGGGATTACAGGCGTGAGCCACCGTGTCTGGCCAAGAGTTTAATTATTAAGCAATGATCTAAAACTAAACTATTAAGTGAAGGTGTTTTAGAAAAGGGAGTGAGAAGGCCAAAAGATCTCTATATCTAAAACAAACATGCAAAAACATACTGCAAGCAAGTTTACATCTTGAGAAGGCTGCACATAAGTAAATATAAACAAAGGTATAAAAAGATTATTTAATGGATCTGGTAAATACATGGAATTCAACAAAATTTACATTATCAAATAGTTTAATTTCCTGGAGCATCATAACAAAAATACTAAACTTAGAATTTTCCCTCGTTCAGCGCAACCTAATGGTAACAGTATTTTGCATAAAAGAAAGGGAAGGACTTTTAAAATCGTATTATCAAGTTAAATTTTACCTTATATAAATTTCACTTGCTATTTTTGATAGTATTGATTAGATGCCATGAGTTTTATTATTAGGAAGTTATTTCCAATTGGACAAAAACTATATTCTACTAAAATAATTGCATGATACCTAGACAAACACAACTGGGCAATACAAACACAAATATTAACAGTAACATTTTTTAAACATGCTAGCCAAAAAAATCACTGCATTAGAATACCAACAATGTAGAAACCTAGTACTCTAATGATTATCACATACCATTAAAAGAATGCTTTTTAAAAAAAGGTAAAACTGATAAACCACTGTAATGTAACTTAGCAGAGATTCAAGTGTTACGGTACTATCCACTTAACCATAAAAGAAACTGAGGAGCCTAAAAGCAGTTCATTCCTTGGCATATTTAGTATGCCCTCAAATAAAAAGACAATCTATATCCATAATTTCTTGTATTTCTCTAATAATCTATTACCAAAGCATCTGGATGTAAAATTCCAGAAAAAAAATACTCTAGGTATTCAGGTGAGAAAATAATGGGAGAAATTTCTTCTAGGTCTCCTCCTTTGTTGAAAACTTTCCAAGATTCTGTATGTTTTTCTAAAGAGTGGTCCAGAAATTTTAACAGCTTTGTGCCTCATCCTAAATGAGAAATCTTCCAAAATCAGAATCCAGGCAAAACTTAACTTCAAAATCCTTACATCACAGATTGAAAAAAATATATTTCTTCTATTAATTCTTGATTGCTCATAAAAATGATTACTGATATTTGTTTAAAGAAAAGTTCGGATGGAAGAAAGTTACCTTTTGGCTCCATCTGTAACTTCAATAACTTCATCTCTACAATTTCTGCTGCTAAGAATGAGCCACTTCAATACTTTTAATAATATAAGAATTAAAGCAGAAAAGTTTTTTTTTCAGACCTCAAGTATCTACATCATTTAGAAATCAGAAGTCTAAAACATTGGCTGTTAGCAAAGAGTAGATGATTGAGATGATATGACCTTAATAGTTCAATATAATCATAAGCCACCGGTGTTCAAAACAAATGCAGCTTCATTTGTTCATCAGATATACTTCTAGTTGTTTACTAAAGGAAGCCAGCTGGGAATTGATAACTGTGTGCCACAGTGTTGAGTTAGAAGTCTTGAGAAAAGTTTCAATCTTCTGGAAAGCCAAAGAAAAAGATGCTCATGGTCACTTTGATGAATCCAAAGAGAAGTATGAAAGTTATTATTCTAGCAACTATCTTAACAAAATGGAATTCTTGCTTCAGTTTTTAGCATTATGGAGTTATCAAACTCTGCCTCCAGTTTTGTCTTCATGTAATAACATTACCTTATTGGGGTTGGGTTTGAGCAAGTAAGACTTCTTTCCAGGAATTTCAGACAGAAAATGAGACATCTGGGGTATTGCTCCTCCTAGATTAGATAAGAAGGAAAGGTATAGCTAGGTGTTGTTTGCTAACTATCTTGACTTTAGCAGAAGATAAAAAGCATGGGACTCATTATCAAGATTTTCACTGTGTTGGCTGTTTTTTCTTGTCTTGTCTTTTTTGTTTGTTTTTGTTCCAATAATTAGCTTACAGATATTCACTTTAGCTTCTATAAGCAGGGCTAGTCATGGAAAAGACTTCAATTTTTCCTCTAGGCATCTTCTGTATGTAATCCTTTAATTTTCAGTTCCAAGAGGCTGCAATGGCAAGGCAGATGGTTTGCATGTGACAGCATGCAGGTCAGAGCACAACTTAAGCAAAAGAAAAAAATGGACATTCTGTTTGGAGTTGATGCTGCAGACTTGGAGAAGATGAATGCATTGATTCAGTGTTGGAAGAAACAGGCCTCTATCATAGCTATCTGTATTCAAATTCACTTCCATATTTGTTAGTAAGCCAAAAGCCAAGCCCAATTCAACACACGCATTTTAGGTTCACTCTTCAAAGTTAAAAAAAATATATAGATACTCAAACCCCATACTAAATTTCTGATATCTGAAAATTCACTGCTTCATATAATATTCTCAATTAAAGCAATTTTTACAGTACTCAATGTTTTTATCAAATACATGTAAATGGTAATTCCTAGAAATTAAAATAATTAATCTTGACTGGTAAATAAATTATGTGAACTAAACTTCTAATATGCATTTTTTCCATATCACACATAGCAACAAAATATTATGGCCTATTTCATAATTTTGGCAATCTTCATAATTCAGAGCTGATTAACAAAGAGCTCCTGGCCAAATATTAACACTGTAGCAAGAAACAGTTGGCAATAGTCTAATCTTCCACCTCATCTTTTCCATTTTTTTTCATGAAACTTCCTCAAGAATTCCTAAAACAGAATTGTAAGATAAATTCCAAAACCCAATAAATTCTGATAAATTCTCTAAAACAAGGTTGATTTTTACATCAAAGGCCATGTTTATCTTCTGAACCTTTATAAATTGTTTCAATGAAATACCAGTCCTATTGATACAGTAATCCAAAAAAAAAGGCAAGGATAACTTTATAATTCCAAAGTTTCCTGCTTTCTGGTAATTTCTACCAATTCATGTGGTAGATACAAACCTATTCTATCAACGTTAATCACAAATTTTGTATTTTATCCTTTGAATAGTTGTTTCATAATTTCAATAATCTGTTTCACTCAGATAAATTGAAAAAAATAACCCATGAAAATATTACTAATCAAATCTCCCAACACTTTTTAGAAAAGGTCACTCCATAAACAGTATTTAACTAGCTGATGCTAGATGCTGCTTATCACAATACAATCTGCATGTTAAAAGTAAAACATATCACACTTATCACACAGAAGGCTACAGTAACAGAGCAATAGTTGACATATGCATGCAGCAAAATCTGATAAATTAATCCATCTTTATCTAAAAGCATTATGCTTTTATTATTGCTAAACAACACATGTTATTAAGGGGCAAAACTGTTTAACATATTCATACCTTCAGTAAACTGGTTGTCTGATGAAAGCACACTTCCTGATGGCAAGGGACCAATTGAACTTGAACCTTCCACCATCTGCCTCTTCTCAAAACTAAACTCAGGAAGTCTTGGAGCCTGAGGTCTGGTTTTTCTCGCAGGGTTCAAGAAAAAACAGTAGGCACATCGAAAAGCTGCAGAGAATTTTTAAAAAATAAGCAAAACCACAAACCAAACAAAGTTCAAGGACTAATTAGTTAACTCACTTAAGATTATTTTTGCAGATATTCAAAAGAACCTTTTAAAAGTTACTGTGCATGTTATTTAAATAATAATATGGTAGATGCTCTAAACAGAACTAAAGCATACTTCCTAATTATTAGAATTTTAATTTTTAAAATTAAAGGCAGAAAAGGCATAATAGGTTACATAGCAGGCTAACTATATAATAAGTTACACAGCAGGTTGATAGCAGAATAATATTAATGACTTAAAAGAATTTGTGAGATTACATTTCTAGTCACTAGAATCATTAGGTATTTTAAAATCCAGAACCTTGCACATTTACCCATGAAAATGTAGTACATAATATTTTAGAAGCATTTTCAATTTACCACAGTTTTTAACAGTGGCTACATATGAGAATCATTTGCAGAGCTTTAAAAAATATACTGATGCCTGGACGCCATACTCAGTCCATTAAATGAAACTCTTTGTAAATGGGTCCTGGGTATCATAATTATTTTAAGCTCTTCGGGTGATTGTGATGCACAGTGGGGTTTGAGAACAACTGGCCTAGAGGCTGTACATTACACAGGAAAAAACCTGAATTGTCTTCCCTGCTTTGGTCTATGTACTAAAATAAGGATAATATGCCTAACCAATGTATACAAAGACAGTATATAAAATAAAATGACACTGCATAGAAAATGGCAAAGAATAAAATATTTAAGCGTAAATTATTTAAATCTCATTGCCCAATAATTCTTACCAATGTATTCAAATTCTTCCTTCAAAGCCATGCCATTATGAGAAAAACATTGCTGGCATATAAGTGCATACCTACACCGTAAGGAAAAATGAACAGACCAATTACAAAAGCAGACAAAGCTCATGACAGAGACTAATTTAGCCATCATGACTAATTTATATTTTAACACAGCTAAATATGCCATAACAAATTATATGAGACTTAGTAAACCACAAACAATATTCATTAAACAAAAGTCAAAATTAACCAAAGCCCAAATTTCAAGCATTTAAAAATATAATTTATACATCAAATTTAAAATAAACTAAGCAACAGTTAAATGAATACGTCTTTACTAAGTTAGCAGAAACATATTTGACAACTGAACACTTAAATTTTGGTGTTTCCCAAAGTATAGTGCTGGGGATGAAAGCCTCCAAATCTGTGATAAGGCTGGAAAAGTTGGAACCCTCTTAGAGATTCACAATGAACATTATTAAAACCTGAGAAGTCTTGCAGCAAATAGACATATTTAATTTTGTTTAGTACAACCCAAAGATTAATTTCTATACATGATTCTTATACCTTTCCCAGTTACACTAAACATCTTCCTCATTTTCTATTTATATACTTTCTCAGTTCTCTGTGGATATACTCAACGAATACTTCACTATATCAAATGTCATTCTATTTTGAATAACGTACAATTCATTACATAAACATTAAATTCTGATTCCTTTTTAAAAATAATATTAGGAGAGCTGTCAAACATCTACTACCCTATGAATTTTTTTAAAATCTATACTTTGACAATTGCTCTGTATATATCATATGATCTTCCTAGAGTTATTTTAAGAATTGGAAAAGCATTTTGAGAACTGCTAAGTACTAAATACATGCAAATTCCTCTTAACATTAAAAGTACTACTATCACCAAGTCCAGTACTGATAACCTATAAAGCTCCATTTCTTAGAACCTATCAGAGTTGCATTATGTTTTTGCTCTTTAAGTTTAAAAGTTTCAATGAAATAATCTAGTTTCTCTAAAAGTTATAGCAGAGTTAATATTTTTTCAAAATGGATTTAACCCAGACTATGTTGTCAAAACTTCTACTGTCAAATAATTGAATATGTACTCTTTTGCAGGGCTATAAAATATTCCATTATGCTATGAAGTCAGAAAATAGGTGCCACAAAACTGTAGAACACCTAGTGTGTGCACACACACACATCCTGTTTTCACTTTCATTTATCTACCACCCCAGTAAATATTACCTGTTTTGTGGACCATCACCAACCAGATATTCAACAATTCTATCCAAAGCACCTCGTTCTCGGGGGAGAATAGGTCTTGCTAAAGGTGGACCTGGAGGATGAAGACCTATTAAATAAATAAATACATACAAAATTTATATACATGAAATATACATAAAGTTTAATTACATTATCAAGAACTACCCATGCTTGTTAGAACTTTTAAAAGGTTTTAACAAAATAGCAAAATATTAATTCTTATAAATCTCTGAAGAACATTCAAGTTTTCATTAATAATACAGTACTACAAAAATAAATATAAATATGTGCTATATTAGAACTACCTTTGCTAGTAGATTCTATAGTAGATTCCTACATAACTACTAGCAAATAAAATTATGCTTAGTTCTCTACAAACTGATTTTTTTAAGTGCTCCAACTCTTAAAAGCCTACGTAATAGTAAATCAGGGGACTTCCATTTCAGGCCATAATAGAGTAACAGGAGTCAGATTTAACATCCCACCTAAAACAACTAAAATACTGTGCAAAACATATGAAGTAACAGTTTTAAAGACACTGGATATCAAGCAATGTATGTTATTGTTCCCTGAGAAGACTAAAAACAAAACATGCCCTACAACTGCCCCAGCTTATTGCCTATAGTTTTCACTTGGCAGTGAAAGTAAACCCAGGTGAAGTGTAGCAGGCTCTCATAGTTGAGGAGACAAAGCCAGAATTCTGAGGAGGTCAAGGCATATCGAGTTCACAAGAAAGGGTACCAAGCAGGAGAGAAGGCACAGAGAAACAACAACAAAGATCTGCAGAGGGTCTACTGGAGAATTCAGCAGAGTACTGACTGGTGTATGCACGTGAGAAAACTATCTGAGGATGGAGGAAAAAGACTACTCAAAAAGGTGAAAAGAAACAGCGTTTATACAGGGCCAAGAATATTGCCCATTTCCAATCAGAGTGGACAAACCTCCTAACACACAGGCCATTAGGTAAAGTATTCAGAAGAGTACTGTATAGGAATTTTTAAAACCCAGCATTCAATAAGGTAAAATTCACAATCTCTGGCATCAGATTAAAAATTACTAGACATGCCAATAAGCAGGAAAATATCACCAATAAGAAAAATCAATCAAAATTGACCCAGAAATCATGAAAATGACTGAATTAGTAGACAAATATTAAGACAATTCTTATGACTATATTTCCTATGTTTGAGAATCTAAAGACTCAGTATGCTAAGTAGACATAAAAAAACTTAAAACTTAAAACAAAATTGAACTTCTACAGATAAAAACTACAATGTCTAGTATAAAAAAATCCACAGATTATGTGTACAACAGTTTAGACACTGTACACAAAAAACTTGTGAACTTTAAGACATAGCAATAGAAACCATACAAAATGATACCCAGGTGCAGTGGCTCATGCCTGTAATTCCAGCACTTTGAGAGGTCGAGGTAGACAGATCACTTGAGCTCAGGTGCTCAAGACCAGCCTTTGAGAGGTCGAGGTAGACAGATCACTTGAGCTCAGGTGTTCAAGACCAGTCTGGGCAATATGAGGAAGCCCCATTTCTACAAAAAAAATACAAAAATTAGCTAGGTGTGGTGGCATGCACCTGTAGTCCCAGCTACTCAGGAGGCAGAGGTAGAAGGACTGCTTGAACCCACGAGGTGGAGGCTGCAGTAAGCCATGATCATACCACTGCACTCCAGCCTGGGTGACAGCAAGACCACAGAACAATCTCAAGCAGCCTAATACATATATATATATAACTGGAGTCCATCAAGAAGAGGAGAGAAATGAAAAAGACAAAACTATTTAAATAATGCATATTTTCCAAATTTGATTAAATCTATAAACCCACAGATGCAAAAATATCAACAAATCCCAAATATAAGAAACATAATTTTGCTCCAACACAGTGCATGAACAAATTGCTTAAAACCAATAATAAAGAGAAAAATCTTGACCGCGTACGGTGGTTCATGCCTGTAATCCCAGCACTTTGGGAGGCCAAGGTGGGCAGATCACAAGGTCAAGAGACAGAAACCATCCTGGCCAACATGGTGAAACCCCATCTCTACTAATACAAAAATTAGCTGGGCGTGGTGACACGTGCCTGTAGTCCCAGCTACTCAAGAGGCTGAGGCAGGAGAATTGCTTAAACCTGGGAGGTGGAGGGTGCAGTGGGCTGAGATTGTGCCACTACACTCCAGCCTGGGCAACAGAGCGAGACTCTGTCTCAAAAAAAAAAAAAAAAAAAGAGAGAGAGAGAGAGAAAGAAATCTTAAAAACAACCAAAAAAAATACATTCTGTACAGAGAAAAAGATAACAATGACAGCAGACTTCTCATCAGAAAAGACTCAAGTCAGAAAACGATGAAACAGTATGTGTAAAGTTCTGAAAGAAAAAAAACTGTCAAAAATTCTATATCCAGTATGAACATCTTTTTTAAATGAAGACTTTTTCAGATATACAAAACTGAAAGAATTCATCACTAGAAGAACAACAATACAAGAAATGTTAAAAAGAAGTCCTTCAGGCAGAAGGAAAGTGATAGCACATGGAAAGCAAGATCTACACAAAGGAATAAAGAATCTAAAACAGTTATCATGTGGGTAAATATATAAGACTTTTTATTATTTAAATCACCTTAAAAGATAACTGACTGCACTCTATTATGCATTACATGTAATCTAGAGATGATTTAAAGTATATGGAAGGTTATGTATAGATTATATGCAAATACCATGCCATTTCTTTTAAGAGATTTGAGCATCCGTGCATTACAGTATCCACTGGGTGATCCTGGGACCAATCACCCACGAATATATGTTCTTTCAAGTAAATATAAAACATTTACCAATACATGGCATTCTCAGACATAAAACAAGTATCAACACACATAAGAAGATTCAAATAACACAATGTATGCTTTCTAACAATAGAATTAAATTAGAAATCAGCAGCAGATAAACATCTGAAAAATCTCCAAATATTTGGTGACTAAATAACATACATTTGAATAACCCAGGATTCAAAGAAAAAAGGAAAATTAGAAAGTATTTTGAACTGAATGAAAATGGAAAAAAAAATCAAAATTTATGATATGCAGCTAAAGCAATACTGAGAAGAAAATTTATAATATTAAACACCTATATTACAAAAGAAGATAGGACTAAAATCCATAATTTCAGCTTCCATATTAAGAAACTATAAAAGAAGAGCAAATGAAACCCAAAGTACAGAATAAAAGAAATAATAAAGATCAGGGACGAAATTAATACAATAGAAAATACAAAAATAATAAAGAAAAGCTGGTTCTTTGGAAAGATCAATATAATTGTTAACCTCTAGCCAGACTAATCAGGAAAAAAAGATACAAACTATTAACATCAGAAATGAGAAAAATAGCATAATTCTGGATTGTAAAAACATTAAAAGAATAATTAGGGAATATTATGAGCAACTTAATGCCAATAAATTCTACAGGTTAGATAAAATGGACAAATTCCTTGAAAGACTACCAAACTACTAAAGTTCACTCAAGAAGATAAAAATAATTATTTGTTAAAATTTTGTTAGGAATTTTTGCATCTATGTTCATGTGTGATATTTGTCATAGTTTTTCTTAAAGAAATTGAATTCTTAGTTTAAAAAAAAAGAAAAAAAACCTTTTTCTCTCAGGAAAAAAACAAAACAAAACAAAACTGGCCCAGGTGCTTCAACTGGTCAAATCTTTAAAATTAAGGAAACATTTAAATTAAGGAAGAAATAATACCAATTCTACACAAATTGTCCAGAAAATTGAATAGGGAATACTTATTCATAATGTTATGAAATGAAACCGACATAACTCTGATACCAAAACCAGAAAAAGATATGACAAGGAAAAAATAAACAAAAAAAACCCACAGACCAATATTCCTAATGAGTACTGATATAAACATTTTTAACAAAATATTAGCAAATCAAAGCCAACAATATGCATATAAGATAATTCATCATGATCAAGTTGAATGAACAGATGGGCACTTCAAGCTGATAAGGAGTATTTATTAAAACAAAAAACCCTAGAGCTAACATCATGCTAAACTGTGAAAGAATAATTGCTTTTCCCATAAGATCAACAAAAAGGCAAGGATGTCCACTCCTAGCACGTCTATTAACACTGTACTGAAGGTTATAGCTCATATAATAAGATAAGAAAAATAAATACAAGAAAACCGGATTGGAAAGGAAGAAGTAGAATTTTCTTTATTCAGACAATGTGGCTATGTAGAAAATACTACATAATCTACAAAAACGTTATACTACCTAGAGCCAATAAATTAGTTTATCAAGGTTATAGGATACAAGAGCAATATACAAAAATCAATTGTATTTCTATATACTAGCAATAACCAATTGGAAATAGTTAATAAAACAATACCATTTACAAATGCATTAAAAATATGAAATAATTAGATGTGAATTTAACCAAAAAATGTGCAAAATCTATACACCAAACAGTACAAAACATTGCTGAAAGAAATTAATGACCTAAATAAGTGAAAAGAAATATACTGTGTTCATGTAATAAATTAGACAATATCATAAGAGACTAATAGTGAGTGGGGAGTGGAGGAATAACACATAAAATTTAGTTAATTTTTATTTTATATAAAAATAATAAAAATAAAGAGTTACACATTCAAACGTTATGAATTGTAACCCTATAACCTCTGAAAACTGAAAGAGAACTATTTGCAGGAGATACTCTGAATTGAAACAACACACAGAAGGCACTGAGAAGAAAGTGACAAAATAAAATGTGATGTTTGCCTTTGTAAAACAAGACGGAATGAACATAATAAGGTGGGCAGCAATGGAGGTTTACATGGAGACTTCATAGAAGACTCTGAAACAAAATGGAACCCTATTGGAAGACGCCCTGCAATATAGGGATACAAAGGTTTCAAAATGGCTGTGACAAAATCTTTCAAGTATTCAAGATGGCTTTAGGATAGCAATACATTATACTAAATTCCTATAATTTAAAGGAATAAAAAGGAAATTTGATTTGTAAATAATCACAAACTTAAAGGCTACTACCATCTATAAAAGGGCAACTGATGTCAAAATTACAGCTATTAGTAAATAAAAGTCAGGTTCCAGACCAAGTTCTTAGTATTAGAAATCAAGTACACCTTTTTTTTTTTTTTTTTTTGAGACGGAGTCTCACTCTGTCGTCCAGGCTGGAGTACAGTGGCATGATCTCATGCCACTGCAACCTCCACCTCCTGGGTTCCAGCGAGTCTCCTGCCTCAGCCTCCCAAGTAGCTGGGATTACAGGCACCTGCCACAAGGCCTGGATAATTTTTGTATTTTTAGTAGAGATGAGGTTTCACTGTGTTAGTCAGGCTGGTCTCGAACTCCTGACCTCAGGTGATCAGCCCGTCTCGGCCTCCCAAAGTGCTGGGATTACAGGCGTGAGCCACTGCACCCGGCTCTCAAATACACTTTCAAGATTCCATCACTGGCAGGGCGCAGTGGCTCACACGTGTAATCCCAGCACTTTGGGAGGCCAAAGTGGGCAGATCACCTGAGGTCAGGAGTTTGAGAACAGCCTGGCCAATACGGCGAAACTCCTACTAAAAATACAAAAATTAGCCAGGCCTGGTGGCGCCCGCCTGTAATCCCAGCTACTCAGAAGGCTGAGGCAGGAGAACTGCTTGAACCCATGAGGCAGAGGTTGCAGTGAGCCAAGATCCACGACACTGCACTCCAGTCTGGACGACAGAACAAGACTCCGTCTCAAAAAAAAAAAAAAAAGATTCCATCAGCTAAGTTACTGGTTTACTTGTGCTAACAACATTCAGTTATTATCATCAAAAAATAAACTTGAATCCAGACGTGGTCATCCCTCATTATCAAATTTTCAACTTGAATAAGCAAGCCAAATTAGATTTGGAAAGCATTTAAGCCAACTTAACTTTTGCTAGAGTATTTTACTTCTACATATTTAAAGTGAACATATCCACAAAAGAATCTGGATACATGAAATAACAGATTTCATAAAAATGACTTAAACCTCTTGCACATGCATCTTTATATTCATGCTGTTATAGACAATGGTAATTAATACAAACATCAAAAGCAATCATTGTAGGAATACTGGTCATTTTTACACAGCTTGGCAAATTATCAAGTACCTGCTGGTTATTAATTTTCAAACATATGGGAGCTCTGTGGTAATACACATTAAATTGATTCACTTCCACAAATATGGCATAAAGAAAAAATTAAATATTAATCTTCTTTATAATAAATTATTTAACTCATTCACATTTTTGGCAATGTACAATTTAAACACAGTCTTTCACACAGAAACTAATTAAAAACTTTAGTAAAACATGTTATATTTACATGATCATAAAATCTAGGCTATTATTCCTTCTATAGCCCTATTCTTACATGTGCAATACAGTTTTTATTACTATATATGTTGCTAAACTTTTTGCTTAAAATAAATTAGATATACAAAGGTATATAATCCATACATTGGCACCCAAAAATGTTATTTCATTAAACAACCAGGAATTTTAATTTACAAATCATGGGTATCTCAAATCAACCAGATAACAACAGAAACATTAATTTTCAATCAATTTAACTTTTCTCAATTGCATAAAATATATGGCTGCCTTAAGTATTGTCATTATATGTCAAATTTAAAAGTATTGTTTTACATAACTATTTTAAAAGTTTTAAGATTTGTATACATTTCATTTATAGTCAGTATTCTTAATTTGTTAATAAATGAAGAGGTTTTTTAGTCTTCTAAAATCTCATGCTGCATTTGTGAAGGAAAACAGGAAAAACATCTACTGTACTACGTAACATTTCCATTTTTTAATGATTTTACTACACAAATACTCTGATTACCTGATATCAGCTACTGCCTAGCCTCAAAATCATTATTAATTATATATTAGTAATTAGTCATGAAATAACAAATTAATCTACATTAGAATTAAATAATTTAAAACAAATAATTTACTATCATATACAACAATATGACATGGAAATCTATGTAAAACAACATGATCTGTGCTAAAGCAGTGGACTTCTATGCCCCAATCACACTCCAAAAGAAACTGCAGGGTACTATAGTCTATTACACTTCAGAATGGGATCTTCCCCTAGAGATCCACCACAGTGAAAAGAGATAATCTATGAAATAAAATAAAGACAATATGTTCATTTTAGAGCTTTATAAAATATCTATCAGAAAATACTAAGGTTCTATGCCTTAAAAAAAATCTACTAGCCCACATTAACAAAAGTATACCATAATACAGGAGTATTATTCCTGAAATATGTTGTCTTGTTTAAAAATATATGTATGGAGTTTAGCAAAAAACATCAATACATTCCAAAAGTGTTTTCTTCTATCCCCATTTTATATAAATCTGGAGGCATTCTAAAGTTGAATATAAAAAGATATGCTGTACTGTTGGCTACAGAATAATACAAAGTTTTATTGCCATTTAAACAAAGAAGCCATAACAGTTAAATGAGCTCGAGAAATAGGTTTCAGTATCGCAAGGTGCCAGCTGTAAAGAGTTATGGCTAATTGAATATGGAACTCCTGCTTAATCAGATAACTGCTCTGCTATTTCCAAATGAAATGCCATTTCCATACCATCTGAAAATGGCCCATTTTATTGGTAACCAGAGAAAACAATATAAACTGTAAATAACATTAAGTGCTCTGTTTACCCATTCCAGGCACTGAAGTAGCAGGGGATCCAAGATGTCTTGGTAACACATTTGATGGGAGGGCTGGAGTAACAGTCCTTTCTGGGGGTCCACCAGGGGCAGAACTGTCCTTTGGTGGTCCAGGAGATACTGGAACTTGTGGAGGAGGGCCCTGGTTAGGGCTTGCTGGTGTTGGAGAAAGGTTTCTTTGAGCTGCAGTTCGCTGACGAATCTCTGAGAAGAGTAAGTACATACTAGACTTAATTTCCAATATACCATATTAGCCAATATCACAAACAATTTATATTTATTAAAATTTTACAGCCCCAAAAGGCATTGTAGTGTCAAAATTACTTATAATAAGAAATCTATAATATGTGACATTGAAAACAAAGTACTCTATTTCTGAACTTACAGTTCAACTGTACGTTTATACAACAAGCCGTGATCTAAGTGTAGCTACTGATACCACTTTTCAAAACAAATTCAGTAAAATAAAATAACCTAATTACGTGTCAAGTCTTTTTACAGTAATCTTCCTAATTATGATAAAGGAAAGAAAGTTTATCAGAATTAGTGAAAACTCCAAATTGCAGATTTGTTTTTCAAGATTTAAAAAACTAAAAACTAAGAGATAAGTGAATAAGTATATTCTGGAATTATCAAAGTAATTAATCTAAGTAGTCACAGAAATGCTGAAAAAGTATTTTTACTATTAGGAGGTACCATTTCCATTCTCCTTTATGGTATTGCTATCCTTTTGGCAAATTTGTTTTGGCCAAAACATTCAACAGATCTACTCCATATAAACAATGTTTCATCATTAATAAATCTTAAGCTTATAGTTACAGAAATTACAAGATTCTCTGTAACAGGGGTCAGCAAACATGCCAAATCCAGGCTGCCGCCTGCTTTTGTAGTTTTATTAGAACACAGGCCAGTTCTTTTGTTTACATATTGTCTATGACTGCTTTAGAAGAGTAGAGTCCCTGCAACAGAGACCACATGGCTCTCAAGGCCATTTAACTATATTTACTATCTGGCTCTTTACAAAAAAAGTTTCATGACTTGTACTCAGTAACATAAAATTAAATTCTACTATTCTCCATTCCCACCAATATTTTACTTGAATGTCAGTGGTAAGATTTCACATAAAGAAGCCTTTATACTTTTTCAATTCTACCTACCACATTAAATTATCACAAATCCTGAATTAGTGAGCTGAAACTAAATGAGTTATTTTTAATTGGCATAAATAGTAAAAATACATACGTCCAGAAGCAAAACACTTGGACTCTACTTGACAGTTAAAGATTTTCATGAAAGTTCATTGCAATTGAAAGTACAGGTCTAGCATCAGATCTTAGTTCATCCCAATCTAGTCTACTAGCTAAGAACCGGGGTCCTGAAGTCAAAAAGATTTGGCTGGAATCCTGGCGCTGGCTACATGACTTCAGATGGGTTACCTAACTTTGACAAACCCGTTATTTTATCTGTAAAATTAGGATAATATTATTAAGTAATATAATTGTTATGAGAATTAAATATGATAATGTATGTAAACTGATAGCTCACATTTAATGAATACTTACTTCAGATGACAGTTTTTGTGCACAACTAAGTATTTTCAAATGATTTTAGCTAAAATTACTGGGACCAACTAATTTTCCATTGGTTCACAATTTAGTCTTTAACCAAGCCATGGCAATAAAAATTATAAGCATAGTATCATTACAAAAATGGAAGCATCTTTATATTTTGCTACTTTCCATGCAAATTATGTAGAAAATTTCAGCTTTCACCTGAACAAATCATATCCTAACATGGGCAAATTAGCTGCTAACTTTATTTTTTACTCACAAGGAGCACCTTAATAGGTGGTTGCACATTAGGAAAGCTGTTAAATGCTGCAAAATGTACTGAGATCAATAAAATCATATTAGGATTTGATAATTTAAACTGCTCATTTGAAAATAAGGTATCAAATACTGTAAATCATTTTTCAGCCAACTTTCAGGTAAAGCATAACTCAAAAAGCGGCATTTTTCTTCCAGATAAATAAAAGTTTAGCATTTGTTAGACTATATAAAAGCAGCTGTTATCCTTCCTCTTCATGAAGACTTGAGACTACTTCCTCTAAATGTACATTTACCCAGTGAAAATTACCTGAAATGCTTTTACTGTCACTAGTATACCACTGAAAGGTGACTAGCTAACAAAGGACACCATGTCAAGCATTCCATAAAAGAGACGTCCCTTAATAATTCTAAATCTAAACTTAGGCAAAGGGGGAAAATGTACAGCAGAGTCACAAAAGGGAGAAAATGTAGTTTCATAATTTTCAAAGGAAAAGCAAGTAACAAAAGTTACAATATCTTCAATAGTTTAAAATAACAACAAGGTACCAAATCTATATTTGGCAAAATATTATAAAATATTCTGGTAGTCTCAATTTAAAATACCTCAGATTTATCTCCTTTTAACTACTTGTGATTCACAAAGTTTTGTATTAATTACTCTAAAAGGTTTCCAGTACTCAACAAAATAGTCATATTAGATATATTCCACATTTCCTGCCTCAGTTGTGAGATACAAAGCCCCCAAAGCCCCCAAAAGAGCCACCAAGCATTCCACATGAATCTGGCAAAAAAATCATAAGCAGCATGCCATAAGGTTAATCCTCAACTGGAGTATGTTTTAACACCCTCATCAATGATCAATGACCCAACAAAAATCACACTCACTGAGGATGATGACATGCCTCTATTAGGTTTAAATTCAAAATGAAGCAAACAGACCCATTACCAACCTCTTTTCAAAGAGGTTATTTATTAAGAGTTATGAATAAAGTTAGTTTGGTTAGTGGGTACAAAATATAGTTAGATAGGAGGAATAAGAACTAGTGTTTGATAGTACAGTAGGGTGACTACAATTAACAATAATGTGCCATTCAAAATAGCTAGAAGAGAAGAATTGGAATGTTCTCAACATAAGATAAATGCTTGAGGTGATGGATATCCCAATTACCTTGATTTAATCATTATAAATTGTATGCAAGTATGTAACCCCAAAAATATGTACAATTATATATCAATTAAAAATGAAGCAAATAGAATCCAAATGATATATTTTTTAAACTACTATATTAAACAGAAGCTTAAATTAATGATAAAACAGCATAGCTGTGCAAAGCAAAGACTCTGGGATCAAATGGTAGTAATTTTAGCTCCACCCTGTTTATTAGATGTGTATGCCACCTTTTCCAAGTTGATGACATCACTCAGTGCAGCTTTCTCATAATGTGAATACTTACCTCTTATGGTTGTTGTAAAGATTAAATGAGAAAATCAAGACAAAGAACTCACCCAAAGCACATGCAAAGTACTTAACGGGCAATAACTATTAGCAGAAATAGTGCACATCTAAAGGTTCCAACGATTATAATAAATCAAAAACTAAACAACCTAGAATTTCTAAGGCAATTATTTAAAATATATAGATACTAATTTACACATTAAATGTTTCCCTAAAGTTATCTGTGAAGTCGTTTAAATGTATAAATTCACAATTTATATAAAAGCTTAAATGTATAACTCTAGTTTGCTATTAAATAATATTGGGATGTTTTATAATACTCATCCCTTAATTATCAGATTTTTTTAAATACTTTTTTTATGCTGCTAGAAGGTTTTGTCTTTGTTCTATTATCAAGCTGTAGTAGGAAGAACACCATACAATAATTAGGAGGCCTGGATTTTCATCTAGCTAATAGTACCAGTTCCTTTATTATTATTATTTCCATAGGTTATTGAGGAACAGGTGGTTATATGAGTAAGTTCTTTAGTGGTGATTTGTAAGATTTTGGTGCACCCATCACCCAAACAGTATACACTACACCCTACTTGTAGTCTTTTATTCCCATCCCCTTCCCGTTCTTTCCCCTGAGTCCCCAAAGTCCACTGTGTCATTCTTATGCCTTTGCACCCTCATCGCTTAGCTCTCACTTATGAGTGAGAACATACGATGTTTGGTTTTCCATTCCTGAGTTACTTCACTTAGAATAATAGTCTCCAAATCTCATCCAGGTCACTGTGAATGCTGTTAATTCATTCCTTTTTATGGCTGAGTAGTATTCCATCATTCATTCATATATATATATATGAATACAAAAATAAAATATATATGAATACTATATATATACACATATATATCTCACAGTTTCTTTACTCATTGGTTGACGGCATTTGGGTTGCTTCCACGTTTTTGTGATTGTAAATTGTGCTACTATAAACATGTGTGTGCAGTATCTTTTTCGTATAATGACTTGTTTTCCTCTGGGTAGAAACCCCGTAGTGGGATTGCTGGATCAAATGGTAGTTCTACTTTTATTTTTTAAGGAAATCTCCATACTGTTTTCCATAATGGTTGTACTAGTTTACATTCCCACCAGCAGTGTAAAACTGTTCCCTGTTCACCACACCCACACCAACATCTACTATTTTTTAATTTTTTTTTATTATGGCCATTCTTGCAGGAGTGAGGTGGTATTGCATTTTGGGTTTGATTTGGATTTCCCTGATCATTAGTGACGTTGAGTATTTTTTCACGTTTGTTGGCCATTTGTATATTTTCTTTTGAGAATTGTCTATTCATGTTCTTAGCCCACTTTTTGACAGGATTGTTTGTTTTTTTCTGGCTCCTTACGTGAACTAAAACCCCACTATGTTCCAAATTTCCTTAACATGAGAGTGTTGGCAAAACTATAAAGGCAATATTCATATTTTCCCTAGCAGTAGTCAAAGGCTTTCTGAAGTACTGTGTCCAGTTCTAAGACTCACAAGAGAAAATTTCAGAAACTGGATTTTAGTAATGGGGGTGAGGGAATCTTTAAGCCTATTCACATATGCAGATGTGGAAACTCTTAGACTTACGGTGAATTCTGCTTTTTATACTTGTGAAAAAATTATACTATAGTATAATTTTATACTATAGTACTATAGTTAGGGCACAGGGATATATTTTCAGGTAAATTTCTATTGTTTTCAGTTCAGTATTTTTTAATTTATTTGAATGTAATTCCTTTAAATAGTCAAAATAACAAAGACATCTCTTCCTTCTACTTCCAAATTTTTCTGAAGTCCATATTCATTATATCTTCTCTTCACATTCACTCATACTAAGCTGCTCCAAATTCAGTTTCTACTCTATTTCGCTACCAAAATTGTACTCTCAAT